ACCCAATTTTCTATCATATTACTTTGTGAAATACAAATATTATTTCTGACCATGATACAATTGGTGTGTCTAAAGGAAAAAAATCTGAAGTCTGAAGGAAAGACCTCATATAAGTACAGTTTGTTCCAGTCAGCTGGTTTAATATCAACTTGYTTCAACTCTTTCATTCATTTCTTCATCCCAGTTCTCACAGACTATGACTAATTTTAATTTAGCTTTTAAACTGGGAGCAAAGGATGTGGGCAAAACCACTCTTGTAACCAGAYACATTTTAACAAATATGAAAGGAAATAAAATTTATGTGCTTGGGAAAAAAAAGGTCTACTTTTGTTATGCTTGCTGGATTACATCCCGAGAAAATGAATGCRAACCATCTCTTTATAAGCACTTATGATAAATTTAAATGAAGGAAAGTGTAAATAGAGAGAACTTTGAGGATGCATTTCATTCAATGTTTACCTGCAGAGCTGCCTGAAGAAAATGTCAACAAACTGGCTTATTTCTTAAGGGAGTGTTCAAAACAAAATTTGCACCTTTTATATAACTGGAATAAATTTATCCCTTGCCACCCCCAATATACTTGGCTTATTGTGTTTCAATTGTATCCCTGTACAGCTCTATTTTTCCAGCGTACATCACCTCTTCACCCCATTCAGAGCTGCAAAATAAATGGTTTCCAATGGCAATGAGAATTGCCTTTCCAGTTATTAATTCATTTGACTCCAGACAAATTTTAAGCACAGCATCTCAGGCATTGATCTTGTTTCTGCCTAGGAAGGCCTGATCCAARTGTCAGTCTGGTTAACAGGAGGGTATTGAGTTCAAACTGGCTTTCAGGATGAGGCTTTCAAACCTCAATGACAGGAGAAGAGAAAATTGCACRCATTTTTCTTTGATCTTTCAAAAAGACTAGAACATGCTTTCATATGGGAAATGAGGCAAACAGGAACGTCTTTGTCTCTTTCAGTAGCCAGCCTGTCCCTGATCTTTCCAACCATTTCCGATTAGCTGTGGTGTCATCAAGTGGTTAAGCAAGAAAAGGCTGAGAAAAATGACCACGGTGCATGAGCTGCATGGCCCACCTGCATGCCAACCACCACCACCCAAAAGGCAAATACACACAAAAATCTTCCTCTCCACACCTTCCTGYGTGAATTAATTTCCATAGAGGTGGACAAGTTACACAAGCTATAAAGAATCTCAAACATACTTGCAAGACTGCAAGACTGAACTAGAGGCCTCCTCTCTGCTGTGCTACCTTTCTTCAGAGAGAAGCACGTACAGWGTTCTTGGCATTATTGATCATTGTCTGTCTGTGAAGTCGGTTTAAGAAGTGAGTCTTAGTTTAATTTCAAGGAAAGTTGGTTTAAGCGCCACTCCTATCACAGAAGTGGAAAAAAAATCCGTAATATCAACTGAAAGAATTGGGTTAGTAGGAACTCCAGCACAGCCTGCATGCCTGTTGCAGTAATCTATAAATTTGAAGGCAGTTGCCTCAGGCTTTGAGTGATAGGTCYTTAGTACAAGGAGTTTCGCATCCCAGTTTCCCTCATTCCTGCTCACTCCTGGCTCCCTGCCATGCACTGCTAACTTCTCTCTCCATGAGGCCACAGTGTGGACTGTACCTCAGAACTGACATGGCTTTGCAAAAAACAGCCTTCATAGTGAGTGAAAAGATTTTATTTTAAAGCCAGATTGGTTCAGAATAGAGCCCTACAAGAGATTCAATGCAAGGAAGAGTTGGAGAATAGGGTAAGGTAACGATGATAATAATTCCTGACACAGCCAAGTCAGGCAGAGTTACAACTCAAGACTATCTAAGACTTGCAGAGATTTCTGTTTGGCCTATGCAAAATAYACTACAGTAAGTAAAGACAACCATTGTTTTACAAGAAATGTCATTARCTTCTCACATTTTCTATTGAAGAGATTGCAGAAAGTTCCTCCTTAAAATTGCAAGAGCCACACCAACAGCAGTCCTTCCTGCCTTCCCATTTTTTGCAAAAAAATTTACTTTTAGTGGCCACTTGTACACCTGGAGTCATAACCCAGTTAAAATTGTAATGCTAAATAAGAATCACTCCAATTCTTTTGTGTATTTTGAATCTGGAAGTCTTGAGTAAAGATTTAACATCACAATTTCAGATCACACTCCCAAAACATTAACCCATTGCAGATACAGATAATTAGTAAATGCATCGGGAAAGATTCAAACAARAAGCTTTTTATTATGAAACTATTGATGTATGCCAGGATTCTCTTACAATGGACCAAAAAGTAACCTATGAATTTATCTGCTAAGGGGACTACAAAAGCAATGAAACTACCAGGCTTTTTATGCCTCTTTTTTACTCCCCATCTTCCAGAGAGGATCCTCCCTCTCCTTGGAAATCCTTCACAGTAGCAAAAGGTCATATTGATCAGAATATGCTCATAAAGATCCGAAGAATCTGGTTAATGAATGAATTAATGAATGAAARTTAGTAAAAGATAATGATTGTATCTGGCCAGAACTACCAGAAGCATGACAAGAAGGACTACATTCAATGGGTGGTCAAGATCCTACATCAATAAAAATTGCAAGGAGCAGGATTCAACAATTTGTTTTATGTTTTAAAATAATACCAGTGAATACAGAACATTGAGTTGAGAGGCATATTTAGAATAGTTAGCAAATACTATAATAAAATAAAAAAATAATGACTAAATAACTAAATAATCTTTTCCTTGTTTACTGAATACTTTTTTCTTTAACACTTGTGTATGATTTTTTAATGGTGGTTTAAAAAAAAAAAAAAAAAAAAGACAAGGTATAACATGTGCTATAGTCTTTGGAAAGTGCCCAGGACATCAGACATTTTAACATTTCAAAGCAGTATTTTGATCAGTTAGTATTTTTTCTATTCCATCATAAATATCATCTATTCTATTGTCATGAAATGTTTGCTGGACATTATTTACCTGGAGACCCTATTCATCATCATTACCAGACTATGCAATCATAAGGTGATAGGATCATAAGGTTCACCCAAGTTTAATGTTCTTTCACTGAAGTCCACAATTATRTTGCGGTAAATCTGCTATAAATGAGGCCTCAGGTTTTAACAATGTGCCACCTACCATATTCACTCAATAATGGCAGAAGCAGGCACATATTGTACTCCACATAWAATTCTTCATTCTCTCTTCACATTCAGCTCGTATCTCATTTACTTCTCTCGTCTTGCCCATAGCAKGTATGTCCCATTCCAGCCCTTGTGTCCCTATTCCCTTCTGCCCACTGCACAATATAAGTTCCTCAGCCATAAGATTAATGTGCCCTGTGCTACCATCAGCTCCAGAGAGTGTCCACAGAACGTGGTAAAAGTACATATTTTCACTCTGTGAAGAATCAGACCTTGATACAAGCATAACTATTCCTATGCTGAATATAAAAGTGTCCCATCTCAGCAAGGAGAGGTGTAAAAGTTGTTCATAGCAAAAACTAAATGAGTCATCAGAAGTGGCCAGGATATAAAATCTTATACTCTCATTAGTGGCATTATTTTTGACCGTGATATTATTCATACATATTTGTGAAGGAAGGTTGTGCATGACGCTATGTAGAGTGATTTATACACTGTCATGTACACTGAAGTTTTAGATTAAGATGCTAATGTATTCATGCATCCCCCTACAAAAAAGACTGCATCTATTTACCAACTCTCAGTATCATGAGGGAAACACGATTGCAACAATCTGCATGCAAGTTCTTTTTTTTTTTAGTACTGCAGAATAWGTTCTCTGCACATGCATAGGAGGAAAGAGATCTTGACATAATCCCATAGGACCAGCATGTCCCCAAAAGGGGCTTTGGATAGTATAAAGCCTGCCAGAGAAGCATATTCAGAGTGTGGGAGGGACAATCTGCTCTCTATTGGTTGTAATAAAGCCAGCAGCATCTGCYGCTGTTCGGCAATGTMGCCACCGCTACTCAATCTCATGACATTTTTCATTCTCAGATCGTATTCTGAGCCTGCCATTCAGCAGTTGTCTGAAAAGAGGAAATGCAGTGAAGTCCTAAAACTCATCACAGAAGTTATATCTGTAAAACTCCTTAAATGGTGGAGTCATTAAAAGGAGGCTGATGAAACTTGTTCTTAGGGAAGTATGAAATTCAAGTCACTTCTAGCCAGAGGAACTCACTCAACTCTATCAGTACAAGGAATAATGAAATCAGGCAAATTTTCCAAAGCATTTCCCTTTAATCATATACTTTTCTGAACATTGGGTAAGAGACTTAAGCCCTATGTCAAATAAAAGACGATAACAATCTAGCACACATTTCTGATTTTCTGGACACCTGATCGACYATAATTGTGTGAGGAAAATTCAAGGACACTTGACTTGCTCTCTCTCAAAATGTCCAGAGGCAGAGTAGAAGTGGGTGTAATACTCCATGGACTAGTATAAAAAGGATGGAAAGTGTTCTGACCTCGAGGAGCTGGGACAACTTGCATTCAGTTATTAAGCAGAATTTCTTGTCCTCTAGTACCCGTGCCTCTGTGGCTCAGATATTAAGCAGCAACACATTCTGACTCAGCAACAATTTCAAATGATGATTTAGCTCTTATCTGCACTAGGAAGACCAGACCTTTCTCACTGCCCATTGATTCTAAAATAGTCAAAATTATTACTCTACATAAATATACTGATTAGTAGATAAAGAAAAATAAATAAATGTCAACTAAATAAAATTAAGGCCATTTAGGAGACTCCAGAGCCAGCATTTTGAAGTGACCTTAGAGCACACACCACCCAAATTTGTTTTCAGCCATTGAMAACTTGATGGTACTTTAGACCCACAGAGAATGTAAAGTTATTATTAAGCAAAGTAAAAGTCTGTACTGTTGACAGCTGACTGGCAAAAACCCAACAGCACCAAACTATCATCACCCATTGATTAGACCACATCAAAGTATTTCAAAGGCATTTTTATATGGTTAAAAATGAGCTCTTACCTTCGGTGTGTACAGCAGAAACATAGGTCCAGTTATAGCGTTTGACAATGTCCACCATCGCCTTTGCTTGCTGTGCATCAGATGGCACCACTCTCATGAAATACTTGAACAGAGTTTTGTCGCTTAGGTCCATGCTCGTGGCAGAATAAGCAATCTGAGGTATATTGAAGAGCTGCAACAAGTTCTGGACCTGGATAGCAACAGAGCTAGAGCCGGGCCCGATGACACCAACAATGGGTTTCTTGGAGCGGAAAGACGATGATGATCCATCCACACATTTCACCATCCCTTCCTCTTCTTCCGATGAAATAAGAGAGTCCCTTATAAACTCAATGCTCTGCTCCAGAGCCACAGCAGAATGCCAGCAGGAGTCCCTTATTTCACATCCTAACGTTATATTTGGCAACAGTGTGGGGTCCAGATTAATTCTGTCAAGGGTATGAAGCATTGCCTCCACTCTCTGAATACCATACTGCTCTCTTACCTCTCCACATTTCCTCTCATGAACTTTGTCGACAGTTGGTTGATGATGGACAGAGAATAGAGCTCCAATGATAATATCACCAGGCATATGTGCAACCACCCTTCTCTCATTTGCCTGTGCTGAAACCAAAAACCCAAAGTTCCCACAAACATCTTCCTTCAACAGCAGGATTGCAAGGAACAGCAAAAGGACCATTTTAGGAAATGGTTTAGGCTGGTAGAGACAACATGATGGAACAAAGCTGGAGAGCTGGTGAGAAGCAGTTATCAAATCTTCTGGATAGAAGGAGCCCTGTACTGATGGTTAACCARGAGTTGGCATGTGTTCTCTAAGGAGTCACCATCATCTCCGAGTGGACAGCTATGCAGAGCTGCACGTGTGGTCATAATCCTCATACCCTTCAGAAATTAATAAATAAGAGAAAGACCTTTAAAACAGTTTTAAAAACCAGTTTTACAATCTCTTCAAWTATTAATAAATCATCATTAAGAAACATATCTTTAAAATTATTTATAAAGTCATCTTTATAATCTCTTCTAAAACTGCACCTGTTTCTACAGCTGTCAATGTCTGTAATATGTTGTCTACTATGTATGCTTGCTTTCATCATTTTCATGCTGGGAAAAAAAAATCTCACCTAAGTGTTTCACAATGTTAGGCTTGCACTTCTGTTAATACAAATCAACTTCTGAATTTTCGACACTCATGTTTAGAAATTCTTTGGGGAAATGTTTTCAAATGCACAAAAGACAGACAAGTATTTCATTCTATAGAAGAAATGTGTTGCCTTTTCTAATACACGTCTTCAAAAACAGCACCCTTTAATTTCAGACATTCTCTATATCTCACATATATGTGCCACACTAATGTATTCTGGGCTGCACTCTATTATCCACTTCAGTACTACAAAACTGCTGTTGATACACAGAGCTGTTATTCTAAGGAATGAAGAATCTATAAATCTACCTTTTATTTTGCAAGATACAACATGAAACAAATTAGCTTTTAAACAAAATTAAGAAAACTTATTTTGGTATTAATATTTGTATTTGTTTTAAGCAAAGGAACAATAATACTAAAACAGCAAAACAGTGAAATTCTTTTCAGATTTTTATAACCTTACTTCAAAAATCATCAAAAAGCAATTTTAAAGATTCTTGCTCTGTAGACAACCTTACAGACTTCTCTGGTATCCAGAAGTCAACATAAAGACTGTACAGATGCACTAATGTTTAAAATATTTTATCAGCCACAATTACCTGTAGACTGTAATGCAATCTGCATTCATCTTTACTGTTGCTGAAGCATAAATAAATAAATCACCAAATACTTCACATCTTGGGCTGTGGTTAACTTGTGGAGCCTGAAAATGTACTTGGAAATGTTATGTACCTGGCAGTGGAATTGCAGTGCTTAAACAGTACTTTGCCAGGTCTTGATTCCTGAGCACATTAAAGTACCATCAATTACTCCTCACCTGCCAGTGAATACATTGGCAGTACAGAAAGGTAAGTGCACTTTTAAATCTAAGGTGTTGAACTACTTAGTGAACCATACATGCAATTTCATTATTGAAAAAACAACTGCAAAATTCTGGGGCAGAATCTGATCTCAGTTTTATTAACACAAATCTTCCAATGTAATAAAAAAAAAAAAATCCATACATTTCAGATGCCACCAAACATTTCTAATCCATTAACAACAATTCTAACAGCACCTAGATATAGTAAAGTGAAAGAAAGCATTGCCATAGGAAATCTACCTCTGCTTCTACGAATYAAAAATCTCACAGGATTTAAGTCTTGAATTTACTCCTCAGAGTTAGGTCATTTGGTAYAGTGCCACAGTGAAACTCTTCCAAATTCTGAAGATGAGACACAAAAATCTAAAAACTTTCTTCGTGTTATGCTTTCTCAATTGTTATTTTATCCAGATGTATAAGTTATAAATTATTTACAAGGATGAGTGAGTGTATTTGATTGARTATTCCCAAATAAAATGCAAATCCTTAAAAATAGGAAACATACATATAATTTTTAATGTTAATTAGAATATCAATAAGTTCATGTAATACTAATTTTAGTAATATAAAGTTCTAATAGTAAGAAATAATATTCACATAACTGTAAAACACTTCAGGAAGATTTGGGTGTTTTGGCTGTAAGGAGTCAGTTTATCAATACTGCAACCCTTTGCCACTAAGGAATAACAGCAGTTCAGTTCAGGTTAATTAGTCTCTAATTACAGACTATCACTATTGCTTATGCCTTGCAATTATTTTTTCCATGACTCTGAAGTTGGTACCGTATAATTTGCAAACAGTCCAAAGGATGAATGACAGGGGATATCTTTGTACAAGATCACAGCTGTTAAATTCCTATACCTTTAATTAATTGAATGTATTATGGCTTAAAAAAAAATTATTTATTAATTTACTAATATTTGAACAGAAAAAGTACTCTATTATTTAACACCATGGATGCTTATTTTTCTGAGCTTCTCAAATTGAGGCTATGTGTCCAGAACACAAGTATATCTAGACAAGTGCCAGCTCTGCCTCAATCTGTAACTGAATATAAAATTAGATGCCTTTCTACAGCCTACCAGCCTGAATCTGAAGCTGTACAGTTTGACAGAGTTCAGGAGCTTGAGGTGAGTTTGTGGTACAAAAAAATAATCCAATCCCAATCCACCATTTTAATTCTACAACACACCATTACCAAATTTTTGGTCTTATGTCTATGGATTAAACATATCMTGTTTCCATACAGGATATGTAAGAAAGAGAGGGCAGGAAAGCCATTTTTATCTTCTTCCCTCCAAAGAACAGCTGTTGTACCTCTCTGTRGTTGCATCTATACGTATAAAATTACAGGGTAAAGAATGAGGCAAAGCTGAAGGTCTCCTTTATATTTCTGGTTTCACAATACTAGGATATGCCACTGCTGGGGGATTCCTRTTTCTGAAAGTGATATGAATGCATCCAAGGGAAAAGAAGGGGCCCAATGCAGACTCCAGTTTCTCCACAATTAATGAACTTTATTCACTCTATTTAAGCTAAAGTCAATTTACTTGGGACTTAAAAAAGTTCCTAATTACACTGAGAACACTGTTTATGGTTTATAGCATCAGGCTTAGGGTTCACACTCAAAGCACCTGAAGTCAATGTTTTCAGTATCCTTTTGTGATGTAATGAAGCAATTTGAAATTTATCTTGACTAATATTTCAAAGTATTTATATTTGCATAATAGAGATCTGGTTCTCTGGTCTTGCACTCATAAACTTGAGAACAGAATCGTTGAGGTGGAAAGGCACTTCAGCAAATTATCTGGTGCATTCCCTCTGCTTACTGTAAATTCAATTAAAGCAGATTTCTTAGCTTCATGTCCAGTTCAGTTTCTTAATATCTCTGAGGATGGAGACTCCACGATYTTTCTGGTCAACCTGTTTGACCACAGTCACAGTAAAAAGGATTCTTTTTATATATATTTAAACAAATTTCCTGTATTTCAATTTGTGTTTCTTGCCTATCATCCTTCTGATGGATGCAGCTGGCCATGCCATGCAAAGATACCATGAGACTAATCAGGTAACAAATCCCATTTTAGGCAAAATGGCTCAGCAGAGAGCTGATAGACTAAGAACACTAATTACATTTCCTGGAGAATSTCTTCCTGAAGAGAAGATGGCCGAGGGAACGATTCAAATATACAATTTCACTGTGCTTCTCTCCCAAAAGAATCACACACAAGTCCCTCCACGTTTTGATTACAATTCTCTCTTACTACAGGAAGCTTATTATTACRAGCAGGATGAGTACTAAAACAAAATTAAGTAAAATTTCATAAGCTTAAATATAACTCTTGTTTAATTTGTTAGAGATAATCCTAAAGGGAATTTTACATGCTATAGCCTTCAGATTGAGAACAGAGGTATCAGCAGTATCAAAGATAGTGAATTCTTTAGTGCATGCAGAAAGCAATGCTAATYGTTCCACAGTTAATAATTTATCTGCTTTAACTTGTTTTCATTGATGGACAACATGCACAGCACTTAGGGTCAAATTTATTTTTCATGCTTTTAAATTTCTTCATCAGCAATGGACTTATAYCAAATTTACTGAAACATAAGTAAAATGGAATTGGGTAATTAATTATTGGTGTGTCAAGATTCCTTGCTTATTTCAGTTATGGATCTAACCATAAGCTTATCCTGAAGCCACATGCTTTAACAACAGATGACACTTTGGTCTCAGTCTCCTGGTGCCCTAACCTCAGATTTGGAGCAATTGCAGAAGAAGAACRGAAAAATAATGCTGCCTACCTGTCCTTTGCTCACTCTTGCCTCAGACAAAAGTTTACTCAGTACCCAGATAACTAAAGACACAGACCTGATGAAGCGCTCAACATGTCCCTRTGACCTCTGTTCTCCCTGGCAGTATAAACTTCATGCCAGACTCTGTCAGGAGAAATTCTCAGCTGTTTCCTTAGGGCACAGCTCCAGCTACTTCATGTTGAGGTTTAACCGAGTAGAAAATGAGCATCTGTAATATTCCACGAAACAACACGCAAATCTTTCATCATTAAAAAAAATACAAAGCTTTCAAAATTATACCAATCTCAAATGCACTACCTGGACATGCAGTCTGCAGAGACTAAAAGAAACAAAAATTGCGCTAATATCTGAGGGCATTAATTAAAAACTTGGTCAAAAATCAGACAAACAGCAGTTCACAAAGAGCTGATTTTCCACTATATTTGTGGCTTAGAGTTTATATATGGGATGTGTCTGACTGTTCGTAAGGGTTCCTGTGCCCGCAGGTGTAACTGCGCTTAAAGCTGCAGGGTGACCCCCTTYCCACCGGGACTTACATTATTATAGCAGCGCCCACTAGTGAGCCCGCAGTGAAGCACCTGTGCTTTGCAATCTGAACYCACTTGGCTCGATGGTTTCTAACARGAAAACACCAACGCGGCTAAGAGAATTTTTTTTAATTTATTCTGTTCTGTATCAGGGGGAAAAAAAATAAAAGGAGAGAAGTAGAAACTCTTTCTTTCAGGTTTCTTCTTTGTTACAATTTTGTAAG